TGAACACTGCCATATATACAGAAGAAGAAATGAATGCCTTTCATCGCGATGTTAAACTTTTAGTGCTTTTTCTTGGACACTTTATTTCTTCAGTTTTTCCTCCAAAGAGGTAAAAAGTGTAAATTATTTTCCTTCCCGAGCAAATGATTTGGAAATTTGAAAAAAGATGTTATAGATAAACGGCTTGTAAACTCAGTGAAATACATCTATTATCCTTAATATAGTGTGAAGCTTTTATAAAAAGTTTGAAAACAAATGTAAAAACAAGAACAAGGTACAAATAAAGTCGTCGAAGATTCAAATGTGTACGACTGACCATGCTTCCTATTCGCTGACGCAATGAAATTTCGAACAGTTGACTTTGAAATGGCTTTCTGGGGCGCGTGCCCAGGATAAAAACAAACAAGATTATAACTGTTTTCATTGTTTCTTATTTTCATTCAATTATGTGATTCAAGGGAAATTCATTACCTGACGAGGGAATTCCGCGTTAAATTGCACTTGAAAACCAATATCGGTTTTCAAGTGCAATTTAACGCGGAATTTCTTCTTCAGGTAATGAATTATCCTATAGAATTTTTCGATGCGGCAATAAAAATTCAGACCATAAAAGAACTCTTTTCTGCAAATGCCTTTTGCTAAAAAATCAGATAATTACATAACTGTATGATACCGGTCTACAAATGTATGTAACACTGTCCGCAACCAGCTGTAAACTTGTTCCTTACTAATAGCACTAGAGGTGGGGAAACTAAACCACGAACAAGTGCATTTCCATTCGTATTTATTAACCTAGATTTTCTGGAAAAAACGCAGGAAATGGCATTTCCGAGACCCTTCATGTAAACATTTTCTGACCCAGACCACTTAGTTTAGATGGTGTTCAGCGCTTGAAATTATCTTCTCGTGCGTTCATCTCACGCTTCAACTTCTCGAAGAAATCGGAATAATTTTACAGAGTGATAACTAGGCGAACAGTAACGTGCAATAATACCCACCAGCGCTACGCTTAAAAATTCAAACTTATCAACAATTTATCGGCGGTATGACGGTACCGGCGTAATTCGTAATTTCGTTCGTCGCTACATACGTGCATTGCATGAGGCAACAAGGTTTATCGGATGTAATGTATTAGTACGACCCTTAAAGAGCCAATATCACAAGGACAACGAGAGTTTTAAATTTCATAATTCCCCCCGCGGTGGATATTTAATTAGATAAACTAAAAGTAGTGAATTAGATAGGAGTCCCGAACGTTACGTTTCGCTTTTCGATTTTATTTCGAGATGGCATGATACGTTTTGCCGCAGCTTTCAAGTTAAACCTAAGTTTTGATTCTTTCTGTCAACCTGAAGACGGATGTTGAATAGACTGAATGAACACAATTATTATTAATTGGGAACACACTATTACCTACTAGTCTTTGTTGGTGATTGCCGTTTTGCTTAGTTTAGTTTTTGCGTCTTCTTGACTTTGTCACCTTTGTTAAACAGTCTTATATTGTGAGCGAGTATTTTTCACAACCCAATAAAGTATTGGTAACAGAGTGTCAGAGTGCTCTATGCGCCATGTCATAACAGAACTTAGATACAACACGCGCCCTGATAAATCAAAAGTCTACCGTAATTTACTTGTAAAATCAAATAAAACTGAAACATCTTCCCGTCCTGCTGTCAAATGGTGCTACTACTGGCGAATTCCTAAATTTTAATTTGCTAAAAGCTTTTGGTTTGAAAGAAACGAGGAGAACACTTTGAACGCCAAAAACAACTAAAACATTTAACTTTTTTAACACTATCAATGTCACCGATTGCTCCTTGAGGCGTTTTAAAGTGAAAGACCTTCAGAAACTCTCCACTAAAGCTCCCCAAACTACTCGCCAAGATCAGGGAAAAACTTGCTATGTTCTTGCTTCAAGAAAATTGCACCGGCATACTAGATGCATTTTCCTTTAGATATTTCTGAGAATCTTATCTACGTGATATATAAAAAAAAAAAAAAAAACCTTCGAAAATAGATGTGCACTCAAGAGTTTTGGCAATTCCGTTTGCTGTCCGCGATTTTCCAACTTTCACTTGATAGTTTTTGCTAAGTTTGAGCATTACAAAGGGGGGGGGCTACTTTCATATTCCATTTTACATTACCATATAAAACTTTCTTTACATTCTTTACATTTGTAACCTCAAAATCTCTCGAGAAAGAAACAATTTCTTTGATTCAATGCTGTACACACTCCTCACAAATTTGAAAAATATTTTACACCCAAAAGGCTTGGAAAAAGGACACAACGGAAACAACCTTAATTTAAGCGCCGGAAAATAATGGATATCAACAGGGAGAAAAGCGTTCTCCCAATGCCTGGTGTTGTTTCCTATTACAAATCACCATTAGGATCTCTATTTTATGGTTGCTAACAAATTTCTGGGTGCCGCTAGTTACCTCCATTTTGCTGAATAGCTGTAAGCTATGAAGAATTTCTAAAGAGGAAAGACTTAGACTAGAACAATTGGTACCCTTACCAATCTTTTTCGATGTAATTTTTGAATATGAAAGCGATCTTCGCAGTAATGAACACTACTTAAGTAATAGTGAAAAGAAGGCCAGCACGGGATTTGGACCCATGACCTCTGCGATACCAGTACAGTGCTATATCAACTGGGCTAACAAGCCAAGTGGGAGCTGGTCACTGTGTTGGTTCCAAATAAACCCTGAACTTAAGTAGTGTTCATTACTGGGAGGATCGCTTTCATATTCACGTCTTTAACCGCGGTTCAAATATATGACTTCCATATATTCACAACGTATGTAATTTTTATTCTTTTTCTTATATTTTCCTTTCTTTTCTTTTTTTCTTCTTTTGCGATTAAAACGCATACAAAACATCCCGCGCAGTATCACTGAATTTCTTAGTGCGTGCATTCTGAGTCAGAGAAACCGCTAGAAATGAGATTTATAAATGTCTTCGAGAGAGCGCAGAAGCTTCTAATCAACATATAATAGTTCGGAATGTATGGGCTTTCTCAGTTTCCTTAAATTTTCGGTAAATTTCCAACTGCAAGTCATGTAGTTATTTAGGAACCGTGACCGGCAGTCGACCTCAATTTTGTGTCAACGTCCATGGCTCTGTATTCTGAGACCAGCGTTAAGGATCCCTGAACGCTAGACATGAGATTTATAAATCACTTTTGGATCATTTTGCGGTTCCTCGTCGACATATGATGGTTTGGATTGTGTAGGCTCTCTCAATTTGTTGAATTTTTAGAGAAATTTCAAACTTCCGTTCATTCAGCAGTTTGAGAACTTTGATCGACTGTCGGTTAGGTAACCAAAGTGTACGAATATATTTATGTCAAACAAAACTAACTTTACAGTTATGGACAAAATATGGTTTCATTCTAAGCTTAAGTCACAAAATCCCCGAACCTCCTTTTTGTAAGATATTTGCCTCCCTTTTGTACCAGCTTCATGTATTTTTTCAAGTAAGCTTTCAAGATCTTGTTCTCGTAAGTTTGTATTATCAATCCAAATTATTGTTTTCAAAAGACTCCACTGATCCCCCATTTGTATATTATCGCGGTGAATGGAGAGCTGATTTTTCCGTGAATAAGGAAATTTCGGCGAGAGAAGAAACAATTTCGTTTATAAAATGTAGTCTGCGGTACATACTTGAGCACCCATTTCGAATCCTTGTTTACCCATTTCTAACTACGTGACCACACAGCTAAAAAGGTTTATTTCTAGGGCTGGTCATTTTATGAAGAAAAATTATCATTTAGGGAGACGAGAAGTAGCACATAGAGTAGAGGTCAAAATAAGGGAGAGGTGGATCCAAGGGTACTGTGCTTCAGCATTAGAGGAAAGAGGACATATCGGTCATTTAGAGATGAAGCATTATTTGTCTGTTCAGTAGATTTGGATTGAAAGCGTCTTTTGAATAAATAAAGAAGAGAATAAACTTACAAGTCCGATAGATAGATGTTTTTGCTGAAAATGTCTGATGGTAATCCCTTCAACTGATTGTTGTCCAATCGCCTAACAAAAAATCATTTAAAGGCGGTATTTAGTAGGTTACACCAATTAAGGAAGGTCAGGAAGCACATAAAATGCTTGTAAACAGACTGTTAGCGTCAATAAAGCGATTATTTTTTTAAGTCTGCGATAAGAAAACGAGCTATACTGTAGAACAAAATGACTTTGAGGGTTTTTTATTCGAATCATTGAAAACAACTGAACACTAAAATTCCTCTACAAAGTAAATAGCAACACACAAATCGTTGCAGGATGTAATATACTTATAAGATTATAAAAGGAAAAAAATAGAAATTAAAACTTTAGAGCAAGCCCTGCTTTATCGCCATATATCTAGCTTTTCTTTGACATCTACAACCACAACCACAACCTCCTGTTTTTACGCCAGGTTGGAAGGAATACATCGATAAATCAGAAATCGCATTGTGCTGTTAATAGCAACATCAACCAACTTAAGGGTTTAGAAATTCGTCATTCTTTGAAAAAAACTGACTACTTTTAAGATTTTACAATCTCTTACTTTTTTATACCCCGGCCTCCATTTCACTGAGCCGATAGTGTGTCTATCGGCTCAGTGAATGAGGGCTATGCAGCTGGTTGTTTACTCAAACACACATCAAAAAATTGATCCAACCACGTTTAACAAGAACGGGTTATAATGCTGATAAATATGCTTGAGCTATGAGCATCCAATCATCACATTCTTAACAAAAATAATTCCATTGTATTTTGTCTTAAAACTTTCAGATCTGAAATCAGTTTCAAACTAATCATGGGTTATCTTAACCCAGCTTTGAACAACCTCGCCCAATAGATTAAGTAAAAGGGTCTTGGTTAACAATCAAAGTTGGTTATTGCTCTTGCGAACTTACTGTGGCCAATCTCATTAAGATGTTGCTACATATGAGTTAAATAGACGCAGTTTGTAAAGCAAATTTATGAGGCTGTTAATTAATCAATGGAACGAGGAAACGAATGTTAGCTTACAGCCATCCCAGGTGAGAGATGTTACTGTGTTGAATACGCAATGGCTTTCAAAGCAGCTAATGACGAATACTTATATTTATTAACGACATATCATTGTCAGTCCCTGTTAGGATATCACTGCCCTTTTAAATTGAAATGCACACAGTACAGATTTGTTTAATCTTAGCTTACAGCCAAGCCAGGTGAGTATTGTTGCTGAAAATATCTTGTGACAAGTCGTTCAACTGGTTGTTACTCAAGTTCCTGTTAGAAAAAAATTGATACAACTGTGTTAAATACATACGGTTTTCAATACTCATGAAAGATACTTTTATTAGTAGTTAGTTAGTGCCTCAACAATTGATCTCTCGTTAATACTCACAACGCCGCTGTGGTGAGGGGAATTTTCCACGGAAACGACATCAATTCTTTTCCTGCACAGTTCACACGCGACAGATTGTATGTTCCCTTCAACATGCGGCACTCACAAGGGCCTGGGCACTCTGAATATTAGACAGTAAATATTGTTCATATAGTTAAATCGCTAAAAAATGATTAATATGTCACCACTAAGTTTGCCTTTCAAAGAGAAAACCAACTTATTTTATAGTATTGAGGAAAAAAAAGAAAGTAGCTTTAGAATGATAGTTTACAACGGAATGCACGAGATGCACTTTTAAACTTAGGCAAATAAATTTGCGAAATTTTTCAACTTCAGAGTATCTTCTTTGAACTGATTACTAACAAACTCTTATCATTGTCAGCATTTAGAGAAGTCAGAATTTAAGCTAAAACAAAAAAATCATCAAACTATAGCAGTGGAGAGAGTTTCCCTCTGAGAGGCTGAACAACGCTAAATAATCAGAATAACTAAAAAATTGGTCTCAGGTTCATACGTGAGAAAAGATTAATGTTTCTACTGCGCGAATTAAAAAGTGGATATGATGAAATGCTGCTTACAAAGGGTATGACAAAATCAATCAAGAAAAATTAGTTGAACAAAAACACTAAAATTACCAAAACTAATCAAAACAAATGAACTCTTTAACTCTCATGAGTGACCAAGACAGAATTTCTCCCCACAATGTCCATACAATTTCAAGCGGACAAGTGATGATAATAAAGAGAGATATCAATAAAGGGGTTATTAGTTGATCCAGTAACAAATTCTCAGAACTAAGATCATAGTAACTGTACCGCAGTTAGTAAAGAGAATTACTAATGAGATCTTGGAAGTGAGATAGTTAATTGAAACAAACTTTGTAAAATAAACATCGTGCAAAAATCCTTCCTGGTCGGAGGCAGCCCATTTGGCAATTTACAAAGCGGGGCAAACCAAAAAACAAATCCAGTGAGTAGCAGGGTGGATAGCTTGAACCTAGACCACTAGATTACAAGCTTTGCACCATAACCACTCTACCAAACTTGCCTCTTTCCAAAAAAAGATTGTCATTTTGATAGATTTGATCAAAGAAAGCTTAATCTGAAAGAAGAACTGTCTAAAATATATATAATCTATCGCAGTCTAGAAGAACGGGGCAAATTACGAGAGCGACTACACGAGGGCGGCGAACCGTGGAGGAGAGATACTAAGAATTAACAAGATGCAAATAAATTAATCAAATAGTACACATTTAGGCATCCAATTGAAAACTGATATAGTTCCATTACACTGGTGTAAGAAATAAATTCACCTTCAATGCTGAGGCTGATTTCTCTCCTTGATACGTTATTATCTCTTCGTACCTCGCAGCTGTAATTCACATTCTTTTCTGCAGCTACAAGCTGATATCTTACACTGGTACTATTTTGAACAACAACACCATTTTTTCTCCATACAATGTATGGAGCTGGCGCACCTTCCACCGGGCACCACAGGTCGGAGGTTCTGTTCGAAAATACAGTCTGTGTCTTGGGTACTTGGATCATGGTGGGTGTGGCTACATTAGGCAATTGATAAAAAAAAAAACACACATATTGTGTATCATACAGAACAAGCAAACCGCAGGCATAATATGTGAAGTAAATACATTGTGTATGGACAACCGTTTTTACTCCAAAGTCACGGAGGACTTCTGTCGGTCTCGTTCTTAGTCTGTTTCTCTTTGTCTCTATCTGTGGCTGTTCGTCTGTCTGGTTGTATACCTGATAAAAAGCTACTTAATAAGGGAATAAATACTGCTATATGTGAAATAAAACGTAATAGTAATGTAAGCCGACGTTATATCTCCTGAATAAAAAATTGTTGTCATGAAATTACAGTTGAATTTAAAGACTCTAACCAAGTGCCTTAACAGTGATTAACTTAGCAAGAAATATCGTGCCTGTTTGATTGAAGGATTTTTCCGAATATTCTGCACTCAAATCAAGTCTGTTATCAGGGAAAAAACTCAACCACAAGTACCGTCCACTGGATCGCACTACAGCAGTTTTGTGATCTCTACAGAATACACCAAGAACGTTGGCTGACCGACTATTGCCGTCACGAATCTCAAGATAGTTATCCTGTAGGCATGGTCGTGGATTCCACCAGGTACTGCGCATGGTAAACTTTAGTTCCACGTAGTGTCCTTTTGGAGCTGAGAGAACATGTGTACTATCAAACCAAGGAACTTCCTTCCATCCTTTTACTTGTTGAGGATATTTCAACAAAACTGCAGCAAATGCAACAAGTTAATTACTTTGCTTATAAAAAGAAAAGTTTGATAGATATCGTAGGTGAAGGCTTAATGGTATATAGCAAGAGAAAGAAAAAGTCTGCAGGTTTACATAACAAGGGCCGCCATTTTAGACCTCAGCTGATCTCTGTCTTACAAGTGTCACTGGTCCACTAATCAGATATCAGATCAATAAACTTCAAAACATCTATCGCACGACTGCAAAATAAATTCTCATTCAGATCTTGAGTTCAACGGGCTTGAGCTAGCTATTACAAAACTGAGTCTTCCATTCTAACCAAAAACTTACTAATGCTTTACATTTGCAGTTACTTTCACTGAGAAAAGTGTTTCAGAAGATAAAGGAAAGTGGTTTATTAATGCATTAGAGGAATAATTTTTTGACTTCATCTTATTCTAGCACTTTACTTTGAAGTTGATTGTACAAGGTAAATGCAGTGGCAATGTCTTTGACGGGTTCAGTCTCGAGCTCAAAGTAGGACTAGGTAAACGTTTCGGACCACTTTCTCTCACCACCGAACAAGCATGCACCACATGTTGCATGCCTAGAAGCAGTTTGATATTACACGCGGGTATGAGAAGTTTTCATCCCACGTGATTATTACATTACATTTAAGCACTGGCATATATTGCAGTTCAAGAAAGCCTGACATAACAATTGCCAACAGATCCTCATGCCCACTTCGCAGTTTTTCTTGTCGCTCTATCCATCCATTCAACCTTGCACTCTCCTCCCTTCCTCTCCTCTTTTCCTCCCTTTACTCGCCCTTTCCCGGGCCTCCCCAAGCATTCTACCCTTCCTCCCCTCCCACATTACCCACGAAGGGCTCCCATTCCCTCCCACATGTCAACAAATGCAAATATTTATCATTTTAGTAAACACTTTCGACAACAGTTGTGAACAACTGAAGGGCTTACCGAAAAGGAGGATGAAACTCCACTTAGCCATTGAGGGTACCATCATGACGTGTTTCAGTTTGTTTTCTGCAGAAGAAAAGTTAATGTCTCAATTTGTTTCTTTCATCAAAAGTGGTTAGTAAATTAAATCTTTTCGAAGCAGCTCGATGTTTTATACACAAGTTTCTGGAGTGAACTCTTGAGGTTTTAATGAATTTGTCTCCATCGGCTACAGAACAAACGTATCCTTCGAAGTGAAACAGAAAAAACCTCAGACTTTCTTGACACTTGCTGGAAAGTTGAATTTAAAAAAAGATAGTGATTGTTTAACTCTGCTGAAAATTAAGACATTGTTTTGTCATTGCTTATCAACAATACTTTTCATCACCTGCATTAAGCAATCGAAAGAAAAAACTCCCTTTTGTCCTAGAACATTCCCCTTTGTAATTTAGAATAATAAAAAGAAGATTGTGTTAGTTGCCTTATGACTCATGAGAAAAAAATTACGTCAAAACTAATAAATACAGCCACCAAGGAGCTTTACCCATTGTTCAGTCATGCATAGCTAAATATTCACGCACTCTAAAAGTGGCAATGTATGTTAAGACCTGGTAAAAGGAAAGGAGTAATTTTGTCGTCTTGTCTGGTAGCTGCTATTCATACTTCATAAAACATTTGAATATTGTGATAAAAATTTTGGTTTATTCTCAAATCATAAACCTGATATTCAACTTTACATTAAACTTTTAGATAGGTTTAACTCCCGAAAAATTTCAATTCGTTCCTGCATCTTACACATTGATAAATTTTTTTCAACATTTTTGTGCGTGTTATTCACAAGAGGAAAAAATGATGTAAAACAGGGAAAAAATTTAACAGTTTATTTTTAGTACTGCTGTCATGGATTGTGCACATATCCTGATGCATCAAAAATGGACAATTTCATATAAAACCGAGCTAATTCTATTTGAAGCATTATCTTAGCGAGAATGGAGGCATCAGTTTTTAGCCAATGAGTTGCATTTCATAACAACGGACCTTTGAGCTATGGCAAAAGAGATTGAAATGAAAAAAATGTTTATTTTCCTTTTAATCGAAATGAGGTGACAGCGTTTTCCCTCGAATGACTAAAATTTAAATTTTTTATCGTAGTGTTAGCGTAGTCTCCGACTTGAAAGTCGGAGACTGCGCTAAGATCTCAGTTAGTACGACCAAAGGACGCTGTCGACCCGGCTAAACAAGATGGTGTAGTTTACAGGATTTCCTGTGAATGCGGCAAGGTGTACATCGGAGAGACTGGAAGACCTATTCAAGACAGAATTAAGCAGCACGATCGAGACATCCGACTCGCCCGTACCGAGACCTCCGCCGTTTCAGAGCATGCCCACAACACCGGACACAAGCCACTCTGGAACGACGTAAAGTTTATTGATCGTGACCCTTATTACTACACGCACAGAGTCAAAGAGCTAATTCATATAAGACTTCACCCTAACAAAATTAAAAAAAACAGCTGATCACAGCAAAGCATCATGCTTTATAAGATCACGCATGACCAGTCGACCTCATCGCCTGAAGAAGACTAACAGTATGCAGTCGAAACGTCGCGATCTACATCAAACATGACAACATCGTGAGACAAACGAAAAACTTGGCTTTTATTGTTGTTCACCACGATGAATAACCACAACCTTTTTTACGAAATTGACCGACATTTATTTCTCCTGAATTCTAAAAGATGTGCGTGATTAGAATTGACGCTTTATCTTCAAAATTTACATTATTAACGACACTAATTTCTAATTCTCTGGTCGATTAAACGCGTCATTAGGGACCAAGGTTAAAAAAAAAATCTCTCCTCTTTCAAATGTCTTTTTGAGTAATGAATCATATGATGAACCTCGTTTTTCCCACTACCCTCTTCCCTGAGAAAGCGTCGTTTGGTTGGGAGAATTAAGAATTTATTGTTTGGAAGCAAACAGTTATAAACTAAAATAGTTATTTAAATACTAAAAGTTATCGAAACTCTAGTAGTTTTTATATCTTCCTAAAGAGCATGTAAACAAACTATGTTTTCCTTTTTCTTTTTTTTCTTCCTTATTTTAGTTCCTCTTAATTTCATTGATGCTGACGAAAGAAATGCTAACGTCGACAAAAAAAAAAAAAATTGAAAATTAGTAATTTTTAGAACCCGCATCATCCGCAAGCCGACTGCTTCTTGTCTCCAACTCAGTTTTCATTTGACTTTCAAATTTTTGGGTTTACAAACTGATCGCCAATTTTTCCTTTTTTGTTGTTGTTGTTATATCTTAAATGTAAAACAACAATTCAAAGTGGACACTCCTGTGCAGATTTTACCACTCTGAAGTCCGAAGATCTCACCACCAAATCTTGTTGTGTTTCTCAAAGCATTTGGACATTTTAACAAGTTCATTGTTCTTGATTCTCGTCAGTAGTTTACACAACATTGTAGTAATGTTCATAGAGAGAAAATAAATTTTGATCAGTTTTACAGAAGTGCTATGTTTCCTTTGTTGTGAAACCACTAGGAAAGTTCATCGCAGAGTTCATGTTTCGGTGATTTCACAGAACCTAAAGAAACTAGACGGATCGAATAACAGACTATACGTTCCAGAGATAAATAGTGAACAATAAATATTCCGTTAGAGTACAAAACCAACACGTATTCATCAACAGCATCGACATCTGTACCGGAAATGAAGTTATTTTGCGATACACAGAAAAAATTGCTCATCGTCTTTAAATCAACTATTTTGCCCCAAGAAGGATAAAATAATTGACTACTAAGTGTAGAGGAGAAAGCTACAAGGCTTTTACATTAAGTACCTGATCATATTCAAAGATAACTATCGTTCGACAACTGACGTTTTCATTAGTTCGCACCAATATTCAACTTAAAAATACAGATGATGCCATTATTGACGCACAAATTTTCAGATCAGAAATTTTTGTTTCGCCGTGTATATAAAAGACGATTTTTTGTGTTAATTCTTTGAAACCGGATCTCAAAAGTTATATGATATCGTCCTATGGTTAAAATATTTTTCTTACATCAGTTACTCTCTGTTAGGAAACAAAAATTTGAAACAAAGGTGGATGTAGTTTGAATAATTATCATTACCATTTTCATTATCATTTATTACTCTTCTGTTATTATCTACAGCGTACCGAGTGTTAATGCATAAAAATATTGCCCCAGAAGGTGCAAAACATAACCTACGCTGTTCTGTAGGAATTTAATACTGAAAAAGTTGAGGTCTTAAAATTTCTCTTTATTTTCATTGATGCTGAGGAAAGAAATGCTAATATGAAAGAAATGGAATATTAGTAATTTTTAGAACCCACATCATCCACAAGCTGACTGCTTCTTGTCTCCAACTCAGTTTTCATTTGACTTTCAAATTTTTGGTTTTACGAACTAATCGCCAATTTTTCCCCCTTTTTTTGTTTTGTTTTGTTTTTGTTTTTTTTTATTACATATTAAATTTAAAACAACAATTCAAAGTGGACGCTCCGATGCTGATTTTTCCATTCTGAAGTCCGAAGATCTCACCACTAAATCTTGATGTGT